TGGGAGCGGCACACCCATTCGAATGGGTTCATTTACGATCGCATAAATATCTTTGCCACGGGCGTTCTCTTCCAATGACACATTGTAAACCGATGCTGTGAACTAAAATTTCTTTTTTGGAGTTCATTTTTTGAAATTCAACTTTTTCACAAATTGTTTAATATGCCAAAATTAATTTAATTTTATCCTTTGATATTTTTCGGAGAAAATTAGCGAAAAGTTATTTACTTGTTATTAAATTCTAGCAATGTATGGATAAAGTATAATAGATAGTGGAAACAAAATTACTGAGTGTAAAATATCTGTAAAAAGATCCAAAAGGCAGCAAAATTATCACACTTTCAAAATTTTAAATTACTTTTTAATTGTATTGAATAACTTGATTTTTTTCTATTTTCTATTTAAAATTTTTTTTACTAAGTTTAATTTCTGGCATATTATTATTAATGCATTAGAATTAAGAAGTATACATGTATACCTGAAAGGTGTCGATTTCGCGTTCATGATTCCGGGCAGAACCGGAAAGGCCGGAACCGAACAATAACAGAGCTAAGAGAAGCAAACGGCGACTAGCCATTGGCCGATTGCAATTCGATGGATACTATGAGGTAGCTATTGTTTGGAATGATGAAAGTAGCAATGATAGGATTATCAGTGATAGGGATAGTAACTGAGGCAAACATAAGCAATGATAGCAAATAGGCACAAAAATGATAAAATGATCTTGAAATGATCGTTTCTTATTTCCTTTCATGACTGTTTAGCAAGTTGTCAACAAATGGCATTTTGACGTGGAAAACAAAATTTTGGAAATTTAACAGAGAAATAATTCCATTGTTTTGTTATTCCTTGTCATCCTAGAAATTTAAATAATGGAATAATTGGGAGAGCAATATATCAAAATATTCTTAAACATAACGATTTGCATTTGCATTAATTAATTACTAATTACATTACATAAGTAATACTTTCGCAATAAGCGGGCACACAACAAGTATTTTTTTTTATTATTTTATAAATAATTTCTTATTTCATATTGATTAAATCACACTCCTCGCAACTCTGATGTAATTTTTGCTGGTAATATTATATTTTTTAAGAACAATTCTTTCAAAACTTTTTTAAACAATTTTTTCAACTTTCAAAACTTTTAGAAAATACAAGACTTTTTTATACCAGAAGGGAATAAGAATTTTAACGAAATTGAAAAGGCCATTTCTGGTTTACAGTGATGAGAGAAATTTTTGAAAAAAGAAAAGGATAAAAAGAAGAAATTTGGCTGAAAAAAACTTAGAATTCAAATAAATTGGACATCAGGAGAGAAAATCAATATAATCATTGGCTGAAGAGAATTAAGATTTGATTAGAGGAGGAATATTTTCTTTCTATTTCTGGTATCACTATGAGATCTGCACGTCAGTTGCATAAATTAACATGCATAGCTGTATGTTTGGGATTTGCTTTAAAAAGAAAAAGAAATTTCCTCCATTTAAATCTAAATTTAAATACTTTTGTCATATATGAAATACTTCCACTTATTTATTCATTCTTCTTCTAAATGTTTTTAATTGAAAATGATTTGTAAATTAATTATATTTGTAAAAGAAAAAATATTTAAATTATACAATTAATTCTAATAATTATTTACATAAGAAGAGTATTTTAATTCTAAATTGACAGAATACAAACAATAAAAATGAATTGTATGCCTTAAAAGAGATGGGATTTAAAATTTTTTGCATTATCTGTAGCATAAATGTTTATTGAAAAGATTTTGCAAATTTTATATTTGTTCAAAATTTGAACCTTTGAAAACGAAATAAGAGAAATTGATGCAGAAAAAATAAAATGAATGAAAAATATAATATTCAAGTTAGGTAAAGTTCGGTTATTTAATGAAAGAGTGCAAGTTATTATACTTTGAAGCATATTTTTGATAATCAACTTGGAAAAATGTTGCTGTCACTTAAGCGATAATTGAATTTGAGATAGAATCTATCATATCACAACACCGTTATTCAGCCATTTAATATAAATTCACTTCATTTCATCATACTTTTTAATATTTCGACCATACTTTTATTATTTCATCATAAGTTTAGTATTTTATTTAAAAATCTGAAATAATTTGTTTAAATGAAATTAAATTTCATGTATATCATTGATTACAAATGGAAAGTAATACCTGATTAGATGGTTAAAAAAATGAGCAAAATAAGTGACTGATGTCAGTGTGGGAGTGTTGAGAGAGAGGGAGAGAGAGAGAGGAAGATCGAAAAGGTCATCTGGTTGCTGCATGGGGAGAGTGAAGGTTGACCCCTCAATATTCAACTCTGTGTTCAGAGTGGTCTGTCAAAGGGGACTCGACTCTCTCTCTGATCATTTCATCTAATTTTCGTTTCAAGTGGTCATACTACTTCCGCGCTGCTTCTTCTTCTTTACCCATTTATCGTTATATATTAAGATTTCCAATCAATTTAGCTAACACTACAAGTGACTCTCTCTTTCTCCTTCTCTCTTCTCTCTTTATTCCTCAATTTATTATATAAAGGCAACACTAAACTTACGCTACCGTAAAAGATAAAATGGGCGAAATTTTGTGAAAATAAATAAAATGAAAATAAAATTTGATGAAATTTTATGAAAAATAAATACCGAAAAAACGAAACAAACAGACAAATAAATCAAAGCATTTCAACAATCGAATTACTGTGCTATCAAAATTATCAAAATGTTAAGTAAAAAAAACTGACAGAGAGAAATTACTTTTTGCACATTTACTAATTTTACTTCAAATAACAATTACCACTTTTCATTACTATGCATTATAATTAAAGTAAGGATTGATCAAAAAGAAAAAAAAATGAATCGAATAATGATGGACAATGTCGCACATTATTTCTATTACTTTTAAACAGATATATGCTTTTTAAATGGATATTTGCTCATTGAGAATGAGATTACATTATTTAATTTGAAAAGAAATCACTCAAACTGAATCGTACGACTCATCGCTTTTCATGCATTTTATAATTTCCTTTTTTTTGAAGCATTACAAAGAAGTAATTCTATTAAACAAACTTTCATTTAATTTATTGAACCAAATTGCGTCTTACTGAAGTGGACGCTTTAAGTGAATTGAAAGATAAAAGATTTGAGATTATATGAATTCATATTTCGAATTATTTTTAAAAGTAAAAGTTTTTAACGAAGAATAAGCAATGCAAATGAAATGAATGCATGTTAAAATGTATGTGCTGCTTTAAATTTTAAGAAAAAAATTTGAATATTCCTATGCTACACGATAAAAGTTCCTGTGATGTCGCCGTTGCCGGCGCCATTTGCGCATCATTCACAACGACTGCTTATTTTGTTTACTTGTCATTTATCGAATTGAATTTGCGTTCAAAAATTTTCAGCTGGTTTGAAAGAACTTTCCATCTTCTCCTTCTTCCTTTCCATGTATTTTTCTTCAATAATTTACTATTTACTGTCCTTTCAGTGGAGGTAAATGGTACTATTCCAGAAATTTTTTATTGATATAGCATTTCATAAAAATAACAGATATTAATGATAGTAATATTTATATTTGCTTATGTTTTTTACCAAAAAAGATATTATTAGTTTAGCTTAAATTTATTTTAAAATCTAAGAAAAAATTTTGACAAAAAAAGAGATTTCAAGGAGAGATGAATGGATTTAGTTTGGAAAAAGTTTCATTTCAATGAAACCATGGAAGCTTTGCACTATGCATCATTTCGTTAAATTGCTTTTTGTCTTTTGAAGTATATTTTGGCTTTTTACATGGAGAGAACAGATTTGGTGAGGCCCAGTTGTGTGACGTTAACTTTTGCTCCAAAATCTTTTTTTTCAAAATTTCTCCTTAGATTTTGAAATAAATTTAAGCTGAGCTAATGATATCTTTTTTGGTAAAAAACACAAGCAAATATAAATGGGAGGGAGGAGGTCAAGAAATTATTCGACGAAATGATTTATTGTAAAGAAACAATGTAATTTTAGCATAATTTGTAACAAATTCAAAAATTGAAGTTTTTAAAACATTCAAAAAAATCCACAAAAATTAAGATGAAACTAATTTTCACAGGATAATATTATCTTCCTGTGATATCAAATAACGATAAGTGAGTACTACCGTAGTTTTAAATAATTTTATGGAACTTTTATGAGAATATTGTTCTTTAGAGCAAAAAGAAAAAAGTCGGTGCAAAAATTCTTATCCCTTGGGATTAAATATTTGAGAAGACGGGAAGAAGAAGATAAGAGAAGATGAAAATGAGACAAAGTTCTATGAATTGATTGAATGATTTACAAGATTGTTGCTTTATCTCAGTAATATTTAAATTTAATTAATGACTAAACTATTTTCTTCTTAGACTTTGAAAAAAAAGGTTCGAAAAACTTTGCAACACAATGGTCACGATTTCAAAAAAAAAACAAATCAAAGTATTAGATTTCATTAATGACGTAAGTAATGAAATGTTAATTGCTCAATTATCCTTTTCAATTTTAGAGAATTTGATAATTTTTAGGAAAGCAAAATATGAATTATATGACAGTGTTTCAAAATAATACAAAATTTTTAAATACCGTATTATTTCATTCATTTCTTCCTGCAATTTAAATTCTGTCTAAGGGGTAGTTTCGTGATTTCAAGAAAAAAAGTTTGAAATAACTTTAGAATATTATTAAAATATGCAAATTCGAAAATTCGTTACGTTTTTCTGCTATGCGAAAATATGATTTACACTGTGATTGATCGTTTGATAATGGAAAATATGTGACCATATGGTTTGCTGCTGCTATATAATCCTTACCAATAACTATCAGATAAATGAGTATTTTATAATCATTTCTTATTTGATAAATAATTATATTTCGTCAGCAAAACTTGTATATTGCAAGTATTGTTCCAGTAAGCTTAATTTGCATAAATATAAAGGGAAAAATAAGAAAGAAAGAAAAAGAATTCAATGGCATTTAAACGCTTTATTGTTCTTCTACCGCTCTTCTGATTCAATTTTTTGGTTCAATTAAAATTGAGATTGTAATGATTAAATAAATTTAAAAAAAAATCATTAAATAAATTTTATGAATTCTTAAATAAATTTTATGAATTAAATAGATTTTAAAAAACAAAATCATTAAATAAATTTTATGAATTCTATTACTTTGATATCATTTTTGAAAATTTTAAGAAATTTATGAATGTAATATCGAGAATGATAGAAATAGAGGAAAATTATGTTGAAAAGGGGAATTGTTGAAAATAGGATTAAGTATGCATCAAATTTAAATTCAAACTTTGATATTTTCGAATGAAATGAAAGCACTTAGCAATCAGCATCATTTAAGTGACGCCACTAAGCGCTGTCATCATCGTATTGCATTAAGCTTACGCCCATAAAAACTGTTTGAGACACGCAAAGGTCGAGTAAACAGCGAATGAGAAGTAATCTTATAGATCAAGGCTTTTGCGATGGACAGCTTATCTAAAAGTGGACAAACTGTCGGATAATTTTCTCATCATTACTCTCTTCGATATTGTATGCGTATCAT